GAGGGGGAAGAAAAAGTATGTGAAGGAGAAAGGAGGGAGGCGTCAGCAGTAGCCTGTTTTCGCTTACCCGCCCTGCTGTATGCAGCAAGTAAGGCGACCCGGCTGATGGCACCACGCGACGGCCGATGTGGCATGAGTTTATTTGTGTATGTGCAATTCATGGTTCTACGTGGGCTGGGCGCCTACACCTAGACAGGAGGACGATTAGGGTCTTCAACCAAAGCCTTTGGCTCAAAAGCCTAACCGCAAGGCAGCGGTGTTTGGCGGGAAATGCAAATGCATTACCATTTCTACGGAACAAGTCGCCACATGTTCCAACCCCCAACCTGGAGGGCCAGGAGACTGTGTTCGTCAGACCTCTAACCATTGACCAACCTGGTGTGAGAGACTCTGCGAATGTCGCGGGACACTCTCCAGTATAGCTCAATGGATCGCTGAGGTGCACAAACCGTCAGACCACGGTAAGGTCCAGCTTCTTCGTGACGGACCTGAATCCGAAACCCAATTGTACCTGAATCCAAAATCGGAGTCAATGATACAAAGTTTAAGCACCCATGTCAACTAGTTTACCGATTAGCGAGCCGCCCTTTGCGGCAGCGGGTGTTCGGTTGTGGGCGTGCCAAAGCAGCTTTCAAACAAATACTGCTGAAACTTTCTGAAAGAGGGGATGTCGATTTCCTGGATAACTGGACCGCACTGTACTTCTCTAAGACCTGTCTGAAGAAGAACGCCGAGAAGCAGGGATCCAACAAACAAAGCCACAATCACAATGCTAGGTGTAAGGTGGAATCATATTGGGTGCTTTTAGTGCTCAAACTCAGGCTACACCAATACCTAAGAATAATCAAACCACGCGCTAGAGAAACCTGCACAAATATACACTTTTCGAGCACCCTTAGGAGTAACGGGGAGGTCGAGGGTACCAAGCTCACTTACCTTGATCTCGTATTGACGTAAGAAAATAAGTGATTTGAATAAATAGAGGGCTTCGTCAATTATATCCTTCTCCAGGTCTGGCATAGCCGGGGCAGGCCCACGAAATTTCGTGCGCAAAGGAAGTAGGGCCATGTTGCCCACTGTATTGGAAGCCTGAACGAATTGTGAATGATAGCTCTGAGGAAGGAATAAGAGGGTAAAATTCACAGATTATTCGTGTACGACGGACCACAATGCATCGATCAAAAATACGCAATGAGAAGGTAAGGTGAGAAACACCCATTTCCAAGCTATGTGAACTTCGAAATTTCTTCAAAAGTAAGCCGATGCGTAAAGGAGTGAGTTGATGGCTGCAGTGGATTAGTGAGTAGATAACTAAGATATTTTGTCGTTTAGAGTGATATCGACAACCACAGCTCCTACAGGAGTGTTACCTGGATAACAAGTATAGGATGCCCAGCCAACAAAAGGTAGATGGGACGGTTGGCTACATTGCAGCCCATTAGCGTCCATCCAAGACGTGAACTCCAGCAGAGTACTGTGGTACCAAGATTTCTCGTTGGTCCACTTGATGGTGGCTTTACTGTCTAAATTAGCGGTTTTGATTAGTTTCTACAGTTAGCAGACGACTGAACTTGTTGACCACCTTAATTATAGGAGCCCTATGTGGTTCACCACTCCGAGCCTCCGAATTAAGATGTCGGTGTTTTAGTTAAAAAACATGAAAATACGAGGAAAATCCGCTTCGCTCTCTCACTTGATTTCAAAAATTTATCGTGTAACATTCGCGGATTAAATGCAAAAGCGACTCAGTTGACCAATTCATAAACTTCACCTCATCACCCTTTTAATTCCCCGAATTTCCCGGATCTGGTGGCCTCATGCGCTTACGGTTTTAAAACTATAAGCGCTTCTAGTGTTTCAGTTTTAACGGTTGTGTGCGCCAATATTTTCCTCCTTACCTGTTCCTCAAACTTTCACGCTGGACCTTCCTGCTATAGATTTTCAACTGTTTTGGGTTAAATTCAACTGTCTCCGATGTACAAGTTTTTTTTGCTGTACAACGAACGGCTGTATATTGAATGAAGATAACCCGTCCTCCCCTCTCTTTAGTAAACCTTGACTTCAGTCCGACTCGAGTGATGAAGTTTTCAACCCCGACGACTTCAAAGTTCACAATAACAAATCGCTTCCGTTTTCTTCCCACACAGATCCTCCCAGCCTTGTGGCTGAGTCCTTTTTCATCACCAGTTACCTTACCAAACTTGTTTGCCATCCCATCCGAATTCCTGATCTTAACCACCATATTGTCCAAACCCTTAACTTCGTCTTGACCTTCCATCAGTGTTAAACACTGATGTGTTGTTGATAATAATGCTAATAATACACCAGATCACGTTGTGGCCTCCTCTGTCACCTTAGATCCTCTGACCACTGTCTCATCGATCCTCCCCAGTCGACGTACGCTCGGAGTGTGCATCAATCTCTGTAGCAATAATCTTTGATTGTGTTGTCTTCCGGAAGACCCCCATTTTTTCAGAATCTAAGACTGTCCTGTGTGAGGTAATTTAACCGCTAGTTCTCCATGCAGATAGGCAATCAACTCGCTAAGGGTTTATCCATAGGTATTTCCAGGTATTAAACAAAGTACTAAGCCAGTATAGGCAGGTGTGCCCGTCCCTTAACACGGGCTGACCATGTAGCTGCACGTAACACATACTCAGCTACTGTCAACAGAGTCAAAGATGAATCCAATGTACCAAAGGTAGCCCAGCTATCAAAAGCACTCCATCCGATTCCTCCTGTATGAGCTCACAAGCTTCAACCTCATAAGCGAATGTTCCCATCCCCCCTCGATCTAAAGCTGTCATCTTGTTGTGGTGGTCCAACTTCAGTACTGCACTGGTCCTGTGGGCTACAGTGTAAGTCGTCCAGCTGTAGCACCCTTTCAGGGCCTAGTTGTCATGTCAACGGAGGGAGGCACGAGGGCTGTGATACTGTCAGGTCACCCAAGCCTAGACAAGAGCAGCTGAGATGCTGAGGTTGGGTTCGAACCACGGACATTCCTGTCCGTAAGGTGGTGCCATAGGAAAACCTAAAAATTATTGCTTCGCAGCTCAGGTTTTTAGTCAGAAACTCAAGGCGTGGTATTTCTGCCAAACTTCCTCCTTCAGCTATGTTGTCGGATCCCAAATCGTTGTACAGCGGAATAGTAAGAAGACGAAACCTTGGACACAACTATAATGTTCCGAACGACAGGCGATTTACAGAAAATGGAGAGCGACTGTTTAGGTTGGTTGCCAATCACCGTCTGTTACTGGCCAATGTGAGCTTCTAGCATCAAAGCTATCAGCTCTAATGCGTAAGTTCCAAGTTCCCGAAGCTGGACGCGCAATCGACTCCAGACTTCGGCTATCTTCCACGCTTTCCCCATTTTTAGCCCACAAACGTGCAACTTATGGAAGGTCTTTATTACATAACCACTTCAGATTCTGTTCAACCAAGTACGACCCACTGGAATAGATATGACTAGTCTAGTGTAATGCTGAATACGGGTTTGCGCGGAAAGGTTTGACGGAAAGATGTCAACAGTTTTTAATTGTCAGCTAGCGTCTATGGAAGAAAATACACAGAACATGGATATGGGAGTCCTGTCTGGACGAAATCCTCGTGCGTGTTCCGACAGACAAACAGCATCATATACTCCCAGATCTTATACGCCGCAAGAATACGCAAACTACACTCGTAGATGATGCTGACAACTCACAAACCAAAAACGGCGTACACGTCCTATTACGCTTTTCGAAAATGCGGAGCGTAACAATTGTTAAAACCATTCAACCAATTCGAAGCTGACTTAAGCATGCAGTCACTTCGCTCGGATACCCCGCTTCTAAAATGACCACAATACCCGTAAAACGTAAACAACCTTCTTCCTAAACTGCATCCTGCGACATTACACAGAGGCCGGTTAAGCGTCTATCAACTCCTTAGAGTATTAAGGACTTTTCCGTGGATAGGACGCTATTTTCAAAGTCGCCAGGATGAAATACCATGGGTGATCATTTCAGAAGCGTTTTGTTTATGTATAGACAGTTTGAGTGAGCCGTTGGCACGTTAATGAGCACTTTGCAGAATAAAATTTCTATTTCTTGTCCACCTTATGGCGGCAACTTCGGTCTTGTTTTAGTAGCGGTTCCCTAAACGCCACTGTTCGATGACACCGGTCAACTTTGGTAGACCAGTCCTTCATATTGTTGGTTTCGGAACAGGCTTTCTTAGGGACTGAGAAGTCCAAGGGACAGATCTGGACAGCCCGATGATGGACAGTTTTTGGTCCATAAATGTAGGGCCACGAAGGCTAATGCCAACAACGTCCAGGTGAACTATGACCCATATCCCGTTGGAGTCACAAGGATATAAACGGCATATGAAACCGTAGTTCTGTATCGACGGCCAGGATCGAATCATGCGGTACACAGCTGCAGAGTGTATCCGGTTTAATAGGACTAAGTTGACTCGTACTACGCGGGTATGGTGACCAGTATAACGCTGTACCTTCTGTTCCATACACTGCGAATACTCATGACCGCCCCAGCCAAACTTTCACGAACTCAAGAGAGACTAAGTCGATGACGGTGGCAGGGTATACACAGTGCGACTGTCATCTTACAGACATCCTGATGGTTACCAAGGGGCCCACTTTCACCAACTAATTCCTCTGGTCAAATCCCGAACAGGTTCCCAGCCCAACTTCCAAAAAAGACCGATAACGGTGAACTCGGTAGTTAAACGACGTTATATTCTTACGTCAGTGGAAGCTCGAAATTCACGCAGAAACTAACGACGGGAACAACGTTCCACTTCACGTGCCAATATAACACAAAAGCCACTCGGAAACCAAGACCCATGGTTAGTACCTTTTTACAGCGACTGCGAAATGTCTGGGAATTTAGTCAAACGCACCCTTCAATTCACAATCAGAACAAAACACGAATATAACTAACACCACAACTTTTCGGTTCTTCATTTTTGTGACTTATGAGGAGTTCACTAAAGGCTACGAAGGATTTTAATAATAAATATAACCTTAATTTGGTTTATATGCACTGGAAAAGCATTTTTAAGCGTTTGTTCCAGCCCATCTCCGTCTTTGTGTAAGGTGTAACGCTTTTTTAAATATAATCCCCGGCGACTTACACGGTCTCTACATGCATGTGAGGGGAGTGTTGTCGACACAAATCAGTGATAACTAAAGCACCATTCAGCGACCATGTATAAGTATACAGTCGAAAATGGGGTATGTATCATGCAGGTTCAATTTGTACGTGACAAACTGAGGATAAACTGTTTCTGATAGCATCAGCCTCAGAACACAACTCACGGTCATGGCAAGACTGTCAGCCTCTGGTCAGACAAACTCAAGACCACCAATTGGTCAAAAGCATCTGCGTCCCAGTAAACGTCATTCGCAACGTTCATTGGCCGATTTTACTCATCCGTCGCGGTAGCTCCCGGTGGATTCAGTGAAATTTGGATGATCCAAGATATTAGAACTTTCTAAATTGTTACCTCAGAGATTAATTTTCTGCTTCATCATCCGCCCGCGTCGGTTTTTGTCATTTAGCTACCCGAGCCCGGAACAGGGCAGAAGAGCACAAAGCTTGAGAGCAAAACCTAACAGCTACCCAGAGTCTCGCACTCGAAGATACAGACGTATCCCTCAGCGTTCCATAGGCTGACTGAATTTTCATTCCAGATTCGGCTTGTTTTTTCCGATCCTTATTCTTACGAACCGTCACGGAGAGCTCGGACTGTATCATGGTTTGTGTGCTTCCATAACCCGGTGGGTGACCATGGGGAGTGTGACGCTCACACAACCCCTCACGCCAGGTTGATAATGGCTAGAACCATGACTAAAAAGCCTCCTAGTGCCCGAGCACGGGGAGTGGATCAGTTTTGGCAATTAGATTTTTGAAAACATATGTTGTTCCAACGGTCTTATGCTAACCAACGCCGCCTTAGGGTACAACTTCTGAGCCACAGCTCCCGAATCGGCACTCTAAGAGTCCTCCTGTCCGGGTATGAGCTCTCTGACAGTGTTTTAACCTAATTCAGCCATTAAGTGCCCATCTAGAAATATTATTCTGCCACATCGCTCGTCGCGTAATGCTATCAGCCGGGCCTTATTCACTGCATACATTATGGTAGCAAAGCGAAAAACGGGCAAATACTGCTGCCTCCCTTTGCTCTGTCCCGCATGTTTTTCTCCGCATTATTTGCTTAGCAGCGATAGATCTGTGGCCTCATTCCTGAGGACTGACAGTTGGATTGGCCCCCACTCCCGTTAGCTGCAATATCCACAGATGACCCGGCCGCGACGGCCAAAGACGCTCGGAACTTTTATTTCAAACTAGGACACTCGGTCAGTCTTGCGGCCTTTACCGTCCGCATTCCTAAATAAGCCGGACAAAAGATTGCTGCCGCATGTACGCTGGACTCGCCTTCTACTGATGCTCGCTGGCTCTGACATGGAGATTCAAGGCTCAAGCACGGGTGTTCAATTGACCTCCCCACCGGTCTCCGCTTGCCTCTGAGTGCGAGCCACTTGTAACCCAGAAGCCGATAAGGCCGGTTCTGCTGTAGCTGGCATTGTTTCAAGACACCAAGTTAAAGGATCTCTGGCTGGATGGTTGCCCGTTGACAGCCGCTCCCATGCGGTTTTTGGCCACATCTGAGAGTATCCTAACAGTCCATTTCTGATCGTTGTGCCTGCTTACACGACAACATACTATGGCGGCGGAGGGTACGGCTTCAACCCGATTTACGGTCAGTTCATTCGAACGCCGGAAATCCCCGCGAAATTGGTTGACCCTTGTAACGTCCCCTATTGGGTTCTGATGCCCGCAAATCACGGGAACTCGGTGCAAATTGGCTCTAACGGAAATCGACTGGATATAACGCTGATATTCAGTGTGACATTAAACTCTCAGAGATGGTAAAGACACACAAATATCGCTTGAAGCATGGCGTTTAATTGTCTTTGTACTACGTGGCTAAAAACGACGTCGGGCAATTTTAAGACCAGATACGATATGAGTGTTATGTGTATTGCTCTCGTCCGCCACGCCCTTTTCACCCAATTTTGAGAAAGTAGCGGACAACGCAAGTTGTCATGAAGGCAAACACGCATTTCCTCCGTCGGCCGACGTCATTGGGCCTGAAACATTTGCTCGAAGTCTACGTTCGAAAGTTGCCAGGGTACGCCAGCCAAGTAATCATACCAGATCACGTGGTGAATAGCACAAAGTATGAGGTGTTCAATGATCAGCCACGAACCTAGTTGCTTGCCTTCATTCTGCGGGCTGCTAAAAATATACCAACCTCTGTCCATTGGGATACAGAAGTTTGCCTGAGACCTATTTCCAAAGTGCTTAATTCCCAAAAGTGGTTTAAATGGGTCATCTCTTCCCCTCACCCTAGTGATGGCAGAGAGTGTGTGAAAGAAATCTGCCCAGGATTATAGCACCTCGTTACATCTGACTGCTTTTCCCAACCCGATGCCAAGAGAAAAACTCGCCGACAAGAAACACTCTTTTAACACAAGCAAATGCATGCGAGTGTAAAAGTTACGATGGCACGGCGCCATCTAAAGGGTACATTTTGACATTGACCCAAGCTGTCTGACAGGCGTTCAGTCAACACCCATCAACATTCATCCTGCTTGCATGAAATCCTTGAGCGCTGATCGTATTCGGTCGTGCTTCTGTGGCGGGCCTTGTCACTCGTGGACTTCTGCTGAATTGACTGAATGATTAATCGTCCTGCTTCCTATCGGCTTTCTCATTAATATTTTGGTGAGGTTTCAAAATTTCCCTGGGTTTCGGACGTTCTGTGGTTGCTTTTAGTAATTGGGCTTTCTTTCCTTTTAGCAATCCAACCTAAGATAGTTGACGTGGGTCAAGTTCCAAAGGCTCCGCCAGTCTTCTGGCGCGATCTATACGTTGTCTTGGTTGCTGCAAAGGGATCGTCTTGGGTGGTCATATGGAGCGGTGGCTATTCGTGCTGATCTTGGGAGGTCAGATTGTGCGCATGTTGAGGTCTAGTAAATGTTATTATGCTTTTAGGATCGGGCACTCAGTCAGCAGCAAATGCCAACTCCATGCGGCAATGCCACACCCTGGTTGATGGAATACCCGCAAGAATTCACCTCTTGCCATTGACCGTGCCATCTTGCTCACTCGTTCCCTTACCCGCAGCTGCGAACAAACTCACCATCTAAACCCGGCCGGCTCCATGGTGCATCCATTTTAATCTGCTGAAACTTCCGTTCGGATGTTAACGTTTCGTTGAATTTCATTCTTTGCTCCTCTTAAAGTCGGCCATTTGCTGTGCAGTTCTCGTTCCGTCTCGTGAGTTAGCCCCATCTTTCTCCCCTGAGGAACTTTTACACCCAGCGCCACTATAACAACGAAACTGATGGATGTCTTCAGTTTCCAGGTTCATCGTCACTCTGAGATCGCCGCTACTACTTTTCCACAACTTGGTCGTCAATCTTTGCGCTTTTTGACAGGCAGTACCACATCACGATGGCCTGACATATCCACCTAACAAGTGAATTCCAAAAATAATTAAAGCTTACCACCTGAAGCATTCCTAGCAGCGTTCGTAGTGTTTTATGGGTTTCGGTGATCCAGGTGCGCCGGGAAACGGTCCCAATATCAGAAGCCCTGTCGAGCTGTAATCAAATCGTGCTTCCGTTTGCTGTGATTGTAAAGCACTTACAAAGAACACCGACAAGGCTATCAAATGTTGCAGCTATTACGTTGAAATGTGGTTCAGACGGGCCCCGTCTGCTTCGTTACCTTTGAGTCCAGATCCGCCTTTAGCTATCCACTCCGCTTAATGCGTATTACCTCTTCCTATCTAACCCCAACCAACGTAAAACAAGCAAAAAGTGGGTTTTTCATGCCTGAGAGCTTATTATACCCCTCGCAACCCATTCAGAACATGCACACAACAATGAGAAAGCCACTATTTGGCTCGATAGCTCACGCTCCGTCATCGTTTAGCCATGGTTCATACGCTCTGGCCACTTCCTTTCTGTCCGAATTTCCCAATGGCAGCTGCCGCTTCGTTTGACTCCGCGAAGTGCCTTTTCCAGAAACTGTTTGCCGTTCACTTGATAAAGTGACTGAGCTGCTTTATTAGCCTGGCTTTCTTCCGACGGATAGAATATCAGGTGGCTGGAGTTCTTTGCTAATGCACAAGCCGCAATTATGACTAGTCGGTGGTATGCCACTTTGCAGATCTGGTAGCATGCACGAGGGGTGAAAACCTCGTGTGTTGGTCGGTACGTGCTGCAGGGAGGGTAGCCCTGTAGGGTTGCACCATGGTGCGTTCGTATACCAGCCACCCGTCCAGTAACACTGGTGCTTCACCCATCGCCGTTGATTCCGAGCACGGCCTTTACTTCAGGAAATCAATAAGAGAGCACTGCTGTTTTTTGTTTTTTCACGCTGGGCTGGATTCGTCCAGGTTGTGTCATTTAACTGGCAAAGCTGCAGCTCCAGAAGATGAAAAAATAGGAAAGAAAATTTTGGCTTATTTATATTAAAAAAGAAAATTTGTAAAAAAACAGACGGAATAGCCTGGAGACTCCATGAACCCATATCTCACATCGACATGCGACCCTGTATAGCTGCTCTTGGCACCACACTCCACTTATCCAACCAAACAAAACATAAGCACCTACCACTACGTCAAGGGTGAACATATGCAATGAGAAAGATATGTATACAAAAGTTCCCAAACATCTGCTACTGGCATTCAGGACCAGTGCCCAGTGGCCTTTTATTCGCCATGCACCAAATGTTAACTTGAAGCAGTGCTTCAGGGACGAGTGACTACATCTCTTACACTTACTTTCTGTCCTGGCACTAAGTCATGTCATAAATACCAGATTAGCCACTCCATTATCTCGGAAGTTCACTCCCGCTAGCCCTTATACATCTGATTTCCCCAACCACACCGATACTGAGTGCTTATATCGGCTTTTACTAGATCCCTTGTACTTTAACATCGCATATTAGCAAACCCAATCCCTGGTCGCTAGTCTACTAAGTGCACATCCATCCTTATCCTATTCCATACACTTACTTGTTGGCATCACTCCAATCCCGACAGGCGACAAGTTTTTATTTCTTTAATAACACATATTATCCCATTACTATCTGTTCAAACTCACCATGCTTTAATAGTCTCATCCCATCCCCTCATATTCCCAAGCTTCGGCAACATCCAGTTTGGACGACCTGGTTAGGTGTTGTCCACTCCACCTGACCTATGATCTACATCCATAAGGTCCCCAAACGGACCAAAAACCCTGCCATCCTACATTGGGTTCGTTCGACCTTGTTTGCTTGGCAAGCCTGGAAAGAATTCCACTGCCCAAAGAACTGCCCATCCAAGCCCAATGACCTTAAAGTTGACGTCCGTTAAGGGGTTGTCTAAAAACC